GGAAAGCGTCCACCGCAGGTGCTTGGAGGCAAGCCCCGCAGCTAGGCGGGGCTTGCTTCCGAGCACCGCCGGTGGAGGCTGAGGTTGCTCTGAAGGCAGCGCAGCCCAGCTGGGAGGCGCAGCCTTCAGAGCAACCTCTGGGAAAGCATCCACCGCCAGTGCTCGGAGGCAAGCTCTGCCCAGCTGGGGGGAGAAGGCGGCGAAGGTTCAGGGCACCCACGGTGGACGCTTTGCCAGAGGTTGCTCTGAAGCCTGGCTTCAGAGCAACCTCCGGGGTAGCGTCCACCGCGGGGTCTCTGAACCTTCTCCCCCCAGCTGGGCAGCGCAACCTGCGGGGAGGCGTCCACAGCCGAAGCAAGTGCCGCCCAGCTGGGGGAAAATGGCCGCCCGCAGCGTTTTCGCGCCTTGCTTATCGAGGCGGCAAAAATGGCGGCCAGATCGGGATTCTTCGCTTACCGGTGAGTTTTCCCCCAATAGGAGCGCATTAAACGGAGTTTAATGCGTTCCTATGGGTTTTCCCCTCCCGCATAGCGAAGAATCCGTATAGCGACATTAATCCTGGAACGGATTAACGTCGCTATGCGGGGCACCACTGTATTATATTAGTGTATAATAGCTCCTAATGTGGTTTCCTAATTTACATGGGTCCCCATTGTGTTATACTGTAGTTCATGAAGAACAGTCCAGAGACAGCATAACAGTTCCTTACCATAATGTTATTTTGTCTAGAAAATGCTTGTCTGCAGCAACTACGGAGGAATGAGAAGGGCAATACACACTTCATTTTGAGAAATGGATATTTTTTAGTGGTTCATCTATGATGGAAAGTGTGTTCAGTTCTTTTTTTATGGGTTACCTTCCCATAAGGGATCAAGTTAAGAGTGGTGCTATTAGATTTAACTCTCTCCTTGGATGCCTGGTTATCATCAGCGGCATGAAGCATTTTTTTGCCAGCTACAGTTGGTTTGCCAGCTGGAATCACTTCTGGAAGAAGATAGCTTGGCCATTTATCCATGCTCTGGTGACTCCTAGATTAGACTTTTACAATGTGTTGTACATGAGCCTGCCTTTGAACCTACAGCACAATTGGGACTACTTGGACAAAACACTTCATGTCAGTTCCTAAGCTAATTCATTTGCTATCCATTTGGTCTCCAGCAAAATTTGTAGAGCGTTTGAAGACCTAATTTACTTAGGATCATGTGCTCCAAATAAATTAGTTCAAATATGGAGGTCATATTGTCAAAAGCGCCCCTACCATTTGAGATAAACCATGCAACAGTTGGGGAAAGCACATTTTTAGTGGTAGACTTCAGAAACTCTTTCTGCAGTAGTTTTCAGCCTTTACCCTTTCTGTGTTGGGCAAAGTCAGCATTTACCAGCCTTTTTAATTTTTTTGCTCAGCCCACTGCTATTGTTGTTAACAATCCTAGGAATTTCTGCTGACCTGAAGAACAGCATATTAAATTTTGTAAATAAATAGGGACAGTGCTGAGCATCCACCCTGACACAGCTTCCTTGGAAGAAAAAACAATTTAAGTGGGTGCATCTTGTGTGTAGGCAATGGGAAGTATGTGTGACTGATTTAGTCTAAATTAGGATGATACACTGGCCCTGTGATACAGTTCTGGTCCAAAGAAGTGCATGCAAATTAGGACCCAATTTTCCCAGTGATCTTTTAGAGACTCTCCTAACTGATCCATGTCTCTACCAGTATCTGTGCATATCCAAATACTGGAGGAAAATGTTTCCCCTAGGAATAAGGAAATTCACGGCTACACAATGCCATCAGTTTTGGGGACTTGGTGCTTAGCCTAAGGAAACAGTCATGTCCCCAGAAGGTCTGTTACCCAATAATAATAATAATAATAATAATAATAATAACAACAACAACAACAACAACAATAACAATAACAATAACAATAATAACAACAATAACAATAACAATAACAACAACAACAACAACAATCATCATCATCATCATCATCATCATCATCATCATCATCATCATCATCATAAAAAATTGCATTCTGAGTTATGGCAACTTTTTTCCAGGATTTTCTAGGTAGTGAATACTCAAAAGTGGTTTACAATTTCCTCCTTCTAGGGGTGCTCTGGGACTATGTGGGTTGCCGCTGCACAAGATGGCTCTTTTCTCAGGAGGTACAAGAGGGAATTGGACTCTCGGCCTCTGGCTCTGCAGCCAGATAGTTAAACAATCTGTTCTGCTTATATAGTAGGTTATAGTAATTGAGTTTAAAAGAAAGAGGAAAAGGCAAACATTCAAGAACACCAAGTGCAAGCAGTTTGGTCCCACAGTTCAGAGGATAGCTAAGACCAATGCCACAGAGAGTCGCTTCAAGGGATATATGTAGAGCTCATTTCAGTGATCATTTCCAGTGATTAAAGTGTGCAGGAGAGATGCTGGGCTTCACTGAGGGGTGAAGCCATCAATCACCGGTGCCACATCAGTGTCTTCCTTAAAAGGCCGCGATCAGTTTGCTTTTCTGTGCTTTTAACTGCCTTGCATCCAGTTTATTTAAACATTTTTAACCACATAATTTTAGATGTAACAGAGGAGATTAAAGCAGGATGTTTCTCCACCTCTTGGATGTCTTTTTTTTTTTTTTTTGACTGCATCTTATCCATCTTATGGTTAGCACAGAAACATGCAAGTTTTAGTCTGTATTTTGGCCTTTGGACAAATATGATATGATAGCCCTAGTCTGAGTTACATTGCAACGTCATGAGAAGCTTGCTTGAAAAAGCTGTGAATCCACTAAACCTTTGCATATTTATATGTGAGAAACCACTCTGAAGAATGAGAATTGTTTTGAGAATTGGGTACAGGATTCACTTCACTTCAGAACAATGGAATTGACCTCTGGACCACACAGGAGCCTAACGGAAACAATGCTAGTGTAAATGTTATCACTCTGCAATTTTATTTCAAAGTATTTTAAAAGCTGCTATCTCTCCCATGCAGTGCAAGAGCAAATTAAAAAACAGAACAAAACCGAAAAACAGTCAAAATGGAATGTTTAATCTTGCTTTTCATCTCCCATAATTAAGGGCAGACCTTCTTGTCCATGGGGCTGGAGCCGTGAGGCTCCCCATCTTTTATCTCTGCAGCCCATTATGGCATGGTCACCATTTCCTCCCAGAGTTACGCCACCCTTTTTGACTTACAAACAACTTCAGTCAAAAGCTCCACTGACATTAATAAAGAATGATCCCGGTGTCATGGTACCATAGCAACCAGCCAGCAGTTTTCATTCTGCTAGCCATATCTCTGAGCCACACTGCTCCACCCTGCTGACTTTGGATGGTGTTTTTACTTTCCCAGCCCAGCAGGTCCGTGAAGTTCAATAACCGCACAACTCCTGCAAGAACCGAAGGAGCAGCGTTTGAGGGATCAGAGGGAAGGGCAAGCCATCCCTCTGATAAAAGCCATCTGTTTGGTGTGCACAAGTGCCAGCAGATAAAGAGGAAGGTGGATCAGGCAGGAGAACAAATGAAGCAGGGAAGGGAAACTCT